GGGCATAGATTTTATAATATCTGAATTTCCAGGATCTGTAATAGAAAGGGTACATACACGGAAATATTTTCCACATGCAGTACCTAATTCAATATTATTACCAATATAATGATGCACACCAGTTTTTGCCAACATAGCATAGTACTCTATCTCCGATTTCCTGTTAAAAAAAATAAAAAAAATATTTATAGTTTTTAATTAACTGGCATAAATGTGAAATGTCTCTGCACTTACAAGCAGAGACGTGAGACTACTCCGCAGAACTCCTACTTATATATATACAAATCAATATGAAACATTATTTAATGCAATACAGACTTATGCCTTGTGTTATAAATTATTTTATAATTTTCATATTGTTTTGTAATTTTTGATGGAGTACTACATCTCAGTCTCACCTTAAAGGAGGAGTATTGTTGGCAATGATGACTAATTTTGCTTTTCCTTGTCGAAGGGACTTCAATGTTTGCTTGTAACCTAAGACATATTTTCCTGACTTCATAACTAAAGCTAACCTGCTGTTAATCCCCTCCTGGGACTTTTTCTGTTAACAAGAAAAAGAAAATATGTATTTAATAGATTTGTAATATTAACCTCTATAAAACAGTCACACCATCGAAATTATAATTTTCGTAAATTTTAAAAACAAAATTACTTATAAATGAGACGATGATATTTAATCATTTTGTTTATGTAATATTATATGATATTTTATGGTAAAAATTAAGTTAACATGTGCTTCTAAAATTGAATGGAACACGTGTGCATTTGAAAAAATATTTACCTGTTTCTTTTGAGCCACCATTTTTCCTATTTAATAAAAGCTAATGCTGAAACAAATATTTAGATATATTTAATAAATATTTCTCTACTTATACAATATATCGTTAAGAAATATTAAAGAATAATTACACTACTTTTTCAACACGCGCAATTACACGGAACACGATAAACGTGAAAGAGGTTGAAAATCTCGCAATACGATCGAGTTCGAATTTGTCACGAAATACAAATGATATAGAACGGAAATTCCACTATTACGTATGTTTTATTTTACTGACTTATACTTTATGGTATTTTCAAAACAGTGTAACAATAATTAATATATAATAATTTTATAATGAGAAGAAGTTATACATAAGATATTTATATCACAAAAATTTTTACAGTATAATTACAAAATTTTAACAATTTAATAAACGTATTATCGTGTATAATGATACGCTGTAACAAAAGTTAATCATTTTTGTATTATTTATTACCTATAATTGTTAATTTAATTTATTTATATCTCAATAATATAAGTCAATGAACATAGACCAAACAGTTTTAAAAACTTCGCAATAAATATTTTAATTTGGAGGGAAATTTAAATGACATGAGTAAACATACGTAATGTGTACTTACACACATAAAAATAGAAAATCATTACAGAAGATAATGAGATTAAAAATTAAAAATTGCTGAATCATAAACTTATTGTCATTACAACAATTATTTTTATAAAAGACTTATTGTGTTGTCATAATTGTACCTTTTAACTTCATAGTTCTAATAGTGCTGCCAGCATACTTGAATATTCAAGTAGCTTGAAAAAACCGAGCAGTTCGAACGTATGTATATATTTCGAGTGGTTTGAAATAATCAAATGGCTCATCTTTCAAATTGCTCGGAACATTTGATTCTTTCGAACCGCTCCAAACAATTCGAGCTACTCGGTTTTTAAATCGAGTTAAACTCGGCTCCCTTTTACCGAGTATTTGTACAGCTCTAATTTCTATTCCATTGTCGAAGTGCACATTCGAAGTGTTCATTAATAAAAGCAAAATACATATTAATAATCCGAATAATCCAAAATGTGAAAATCAAGGTGTACAATTTTTTGATCTCGTATAAATCAGCTGCATTTAATTTTTCTCTACTAATATTAAAAATATGGTAGAAAATGTAAACCAAACGTGATTTATTTTCACAATTTTAATATTTTTTCAAAATTACTTCAATATTTTTCACGTAATTAAGAACAGAATGTTCTAATACCATAAGCGCAGACCCTGACTCAAGAATTGAAGCTGAAAAGTGTAAGATCTCCACAATATGCGTTTACTGTTCAGATCTAATTGAAAAATCAGCACCAATATCGATATACATATAAAAATTTAATAACGAGGTATTTTTATACTAAGAAAACCAGTTACAATGTAACTGCAGAACGTTAATAATTCAATAGATGTATTATCGCGTATAATTGTCCGCTGTCAAAATATTTAATCATTTTTGTATTATTTCTATATTTCTTTCTTTTTATTGTGTGGAATATTTAAAATTATTGTAAAGCTTCACTTAATTTCTAGCTATAATGGCTTTACGAGTATATATATATATATATACATACACATATAAATACATATAAGCGATCGTATTTATTTAATTTGAAAGATGAATGAAAACATGTAAAAGAAAGTGTTCTTTAATAAAAAAAAGTGTTTGAAACTTTCGTCTAATCGATAAGAAATACGCGATAAAAGAAAATGAAGCAACAAGGTCACAATATTACTCAGTAAATATGATAACAGATGTGAGTGAAATATTGCAGGTGTTATCAGAAGAACTGGTAATAGTTGTATTTACGACCTCGTTCTTTCACTAGACTTGTAGTTTGCATAAGTAGTGTCAAATAGTTAATATTACGATCACGTTCGCGTTTTTTTATTTGTACGTAATATTACAGAAATTTGTAAAAATATGTTTTCATTTAAAATGTAATAACATCGTGTAAAAATATATGTAACGATTATTTAAAAAATAAAAATTGTCGTTTCGAAACATTATTTATTGCTGTATTGTGTATACTAAATTTAATCATAAAATGCTAAAGGTATATGAAAGTATTTGTACAAAAATTATAATTAATATTTTTCTGCTTTATGTTTCAGAAATATTTTTAAAATGGAACTTAAATGTAAAATACAAACTTATGATTGGGGAAGACATGGTATTAACAGTACTGTTGCAACATTGATGAAATCTGCCAATCCAGATTTTGTACTAGATGAAAAGAAACCACATGCTGAGCTATGGATGGGTACACATCCCAATGGTCCTTCGTACATGAAAGATCTAAATATAACTTTGGAAGAATATATAAAACAAAATAATGAAGTATTAGGCAATAGTGTTCAACAAACTTTTGGTTCTCATTTACCATTTCTTTTAAAAGTTTTATCTGTGAATAAAGCATTATCGATTCAGGCACATCCTAATAAGGTATATATGTATTCATATTGCCTGTAATAATAACTGCTTTATCTAATGCAATGTTATACATCATATTTCAATATAGAAAAAAGCAAAGGAGTTGCATCAACAGTATCCTACTATTTACAAAGATGCAAATCATAAACCTGAGCTTGCAATAGCATTGACACCTTTTGAGGCTCTCTGTGGCTTCCGTCCAATTAGGGAGATAAAAGAATTTTTGAAAGTTCTCCCAGAGTTACGTGCTGTAATAGGAGAAGATAAGGTACTGAAGTTTATGACAACAGATGAAGCAGGCATTACAAAAGCTTTGAAAACATGTTTTCATAGTCTTATGACCTGTGATCCTGGATTAATAGCACTACAACTTAGAAAATTACTTGATAGATTGTCCAATTTAGGTAATTTTTATTAATGAAGTATTTGTAAGCATTTTTTCAATAATAATAAAAATAATTTGTTGATTTTAGACGAATCATTAAGGCAAACATTACATGCTAGTTTGCTGGAAAGACTGTACTCAGATTACCCAGGAGATGTAGGATGTTTTGGCATTTATTTTTTTAACTTTATAACAATGCAGCCTGGTGAGGCTATATATCTTGGACCAAATGAACCACATGCATATCTTTCTGGTGGTCAGTATTTCATGATATATTTCATAATATTTTTTAATTATACTTTATAACATATTCTAATAATCTATTTATAGATTGTGTGGAATGCATGGCATGTTCTGATAACGTGGTTCGTGCAGGATTGACTCCTAAACTAAAAGATGTGCCAACATTAGTTGAAATATTAACATATACTTGTGAACCACTTTCTGCAAAAAGATTTCAACCTTCCCGCGAAGACGAATGTACAGAAGTGTTTCGTCCTCCTGTATCAGATTTTGCTGTTGCTAAAATTACAGTAAGCTTACTTATAGAATATTACTAAAATATTTTAAAAATACAAAAATTATAATGTATTTTAGATTCCTCTTGGAAGATCTTCATATAATATAATTCCCAGAAGTACAGCTAGCATTTTAATTATTATAAACGGGAAAGGTGAAATTTCATCGTCGAAAATTCTTTATCGAGGCTCTGTTGTATTTATCCCGGCAAATGAAAAAGTCGGAATCAAAGTTTTATGCGGATGCCACCCAATGTTGATGTTTCAAGCTTTCGTAAATGTTTAAAGGCAATTTCTGGATATTTGGGTAAAGTTCTGATAAACGAAAACGGTAAATTTGCACGCACAAAGTATTACTGCACTTTTGAATGCTTCATAGTCTAAGACTAAAACTGTTGGTCTTCAAATTTTGTCAGTAGTTATGAATAGACAAAAGATTTAAAATGCTATTGAGTATTATTCTCAATATCATTCTTTTTAATAGACTAGAAATATTTTTTCCATAGTAAGGCATTCCATAGTTTATATAAAGAGCTCGAAAATAGAGTTGTCTATACAATGCTTCCAATATTAATGCACGAGTACATAAAATTAGAAACATTCTTATGTTGGAAGCATTTATCATTTGCTATTCGTGCCATAATATGTATTATAGTGCATTTTAATTTACAAATTACATTTCCAACATTAAGTAGTATTTTTACATATTAAGAAAATTATCGATCTGTTTTTTAGATAAACAATGAACTTATTTCAAAAAGGTATACTAATTTATACAGTAGTATACTTAGATATCTTTTAATTTTCAAACGCATTTTTGTGGTAGCATTTATAACAATGCAATAAAGGCATAATTTTATTGCTTGTTTCAACAACAAAAGTCAATGTGCAACTCTAGTCATTTTATATTAACTATTATTTTCTAATTCCTGTTGTGTGTGCAGGAAGACTATATTCCGTATTTTATTAAATACAGCGTGTCCATAAAAGAATGTATTTATTTCTTTTTCTCTCTCCAAAGTGACCAGTGTAAATTTCTGAAAAGGATACAATTGTTTATGGACGCGCTGTATAAGTTTTTCCATTTTATTATACATATACAGCATAAAATATATAAAGTTATTATTCCATAATGCCTTATTTGTGAAAAAAATGTTCATTTATTTTTATTATAAATGAAATATTGAAAATGAAATAAATTATTTTTTAAATATTTTAA